AACAACTTTAAATTATTGTATCAAAACCAATTCTGATTATTTTGTTGGCATTATACAATACAATACCAGGGATTCATATACATATCATCCGTGATGCAATCATCGGACGACAATCATGAAACCCCGTCATCTCGTTCGGGGCTGAGCCAGCTGTACAAGCAGGCTTGGGCTGCCTCCCGTCTCCTGGTGGTTTCGCGAGTGTCGAACCAAAAGGTGGTCCCATGGGTGGTGTCCTCAGCGGGTGCTGTCCGGTGCTTCGACACGGTGTCCCTCAGTAGGAAGCTCTCCCTCCACCGTCACACTAGGATTCCAATTCTCTTGCACGTGCTCATTTGGGATAAAAGCGTAAATTACGCGAATGCAGGAAGCATCCGTGCCCGGGCCATGTCGACTGAGGTCCACCTAGCGAGCCCGGCCGTTAACGAGAGTGGTCGGGTGGTGGAGGGTTTTGATCGTGTGGATGAGAATGAGAGAAGAGCAGGAGATGGTCATCAGCTGGAAAGAGATACGGCCGGTGAGTTTTCGTTCCGGTTTCGTGATTTCGGCATCACTGATAATTGGGTGTGACTGACTTGGGCATTACTGGGTGTGACAATTTTTGCACCTATTTGTTAGGCTGTTCATGTGTTATGTGTATTTTGGTGGCTTCGTGCTTATTTGATGTTTATAGGAGCTTTCCATGTTAATTATGATCTCAGTGTAAAGAAGTAAGTAAAATTTAGGAGTCACCACAAAATAGCTACTTACAACTATTTTTTTTTTTTTTTAAAAAAAGGAGGATCAATAGTGTTCCCACTTCCTCTCCTCGGTGACTCGAACGCATTAGTTATCGGTCATAGGTGAAGCGTCTTACTAGCTTCTTACAACTTATGTAAAGAGTTAATACACACTTTTTGGATACTTATTTTTTTTCCCCGATTATTGTAGAGATGCAAACACATACATTTTCCACTTGCAACCATACACTCCATATTCCAAACTAACTTTCATCCTCACTCACTTGTCTGCAATGTCCTGGCGTATGTGGCGGACCAGCGCCGGGATGGTGATCTCCGGCGCGCTGAGGTGCGGCAGGTGGCCTTCGGTGGGCAGCACCTCCATGACGGACTTCCCACCCAGGTTCCGACGGAGGTATTCCCCCACCACCAAAGGCACCATCTTGTCCTTGGAGCTCTGGATGATGTGGCATGCGACGGTGACTTGGCTAAGGTAAGGCCTTAGGTCGAAAGAGTTCAACATACGACACACGCTGAGCGCTATGTCTGGCCGCACGTTGAACAGTGTCCGGCTGAACTCCTGAATTGTTGCACTCGATTCCAGGTCCCCACCCACCAGCAGCGGCGCATACCCCGATGCCATCGCCTTGTAGTTCTCCACCACGGCCGCATTCCACTCATCCAGCTCATGCTGCTCAAAACCACCATAGTAGTCTTCCGTGTTCGACAACCTAATCAACAATAAAAATATAATATACAACGAAAAGAAAAATAAAAGATGTGTAAGATTAGAGAATCGGGGCAAGAGGATGCAGTCCCACGCAGATGAAGCGCACTATAAGAGTGGACTTAGGTGTCCCATAGTAAGGTTCCATCCCAAAACCAATTCGTGATTGAGAGGAGTAACCCACTATGGTTATAAAATCAATGTGAGACAACTCATAAGTGATATTCCAACAAGATGATATATATTTGACCGAGTAAAAACTAAAAAGAGTATGTACCTTGGGGTCGATGAAATCATGACAATCTTACGAAACAAGTCCGGTCGGAAAATGGATGCCACAACGGCAGCCATGGCAGACATGGAGTGGCCGACATAAATGCAGCTGCTGACGTTGAACTCCTCTAAGATGGCGAGGATGTCGTAAGAATAGCCTTCCAAGGTGGAGTAGCGTTTGAAATCGAAGTAATCGGGATTGGTGGTCCCCGCGCCCATGTTGTCGTAGAGTAGGACCTTGTACTCGTCCACCAGGTGCGGGACTAAGTGCCTCCAAACCGACTGGTCCGTGCCGAACCCATGACCGAGGACCACAGTCGTCTCGCCCGAACCTAAAACGGTCACGTTGTGGGCTGCTGCAACTGTGCTCATCTTTTCTTCTTATGTTTATCAGATTCTTGTTAAGACTCTTTTGCTGCAGGTGTACTGTTAGTATCTTTATATATATTTATTAGCATGTGAGATTCTATCTTTAATGAATATTCAATTCCATTTATATTTTCTTCACATTGATTCATGTTAGATCGCGGTGGCATTTGAATTCACCTGCTGACCCTCGCCGAGTTTGGCGCTGTCAACGCTTATTAGAAAAATTGAAATATGAATTTCTGTTTGATTTCTTCTTTGTTTAAAAAGCAAAAAAGAAATGAAGATAATGTTGTTAATCTTGTGATCCGATTTTGTAGGCAACTTGTTGGATAATAATGAACAGGTTTCGGATTACTTTTTTGTTTTCGGTTCTTAAATCGTGTGTTTGGTTTAATGCTTAAGACTATTACGGTGGTTGCTGTCAGGGGTTAGGGAGTCCACCCGAAATTAGTATAGTATATCTCTGTGAATACAAAATGTACAGTTATAATATTTTCACATCACCTTTGTGTTAGGTAGGTAGGACTCTGTATTCAAGCTTGCCATCAGTATTACAGGTACGCTCATATCATCAGAGGCAGAGTCGAGATTTATAAGGCTAAAATTATAGCATATATTAAATAAAAATTATGATAAACATATTATTTTTAAGTGTTTTTGCAACAAATATTCTTTTGAAATATATTTGTTTAACAAAACTATATTTTTGAGTTTAAATTTAGGACGGAATTTAAAAAATTCAACGACACTTCATTATGACAACAAGAAAACAAAAATTAAAAAAAGAGAAAAAGATCGTTTATTAGTAACAAATTTAACTTATGGACAATTATTTCTCAGTTTTCAAGGAATTATTTAATTTTATCAAGATAAAATCCCTCAAAATTGATATTTATGTGATGGTTATGTAGATTTAAAGTGGTTCGATAATTTTATTTGATGTGATTATGACATATATTTTAATTAGTTAGACTAACATTATAAACATTGTTCAATTTCAATTTTAATATTATACATATAATTAAAATTATTTTAGGTATGTATATATGTATATGTATATACATGGTCCCAGAAAATTCTATCCAGGGAAAATTTGTACATGGCCCCACCCCTGACCCCAGAGTTGGACAATAGTCCAAAGATCACATAAGGAAAGGGCAACAACTTATCGGTCATACTAACGCAAGTAAAAGACACAATGGAGTCAAGCACAACACAACTAAGATCAAACGGCTTTCCACACAGTACACGAAAAATCACACGAGCCTAAATGGGTGTAACTCTCTGTTTGTGAGCCCAATTGAGTGAACCAATCTTTTGAAGGGCATTGACTTGATAAGTGATGCTTTTGACAAACAGATTGGGACGGATCCAATTAGTCAATTTGGATCTGTCAGTTTTCCTACTGTCAGAGCATTTGTCACTTCATACAAATTATCATCAAGAGCAGACACAGATCAACCAAAAGAAAAACCAAGATAAGAGTTTATCACAACAAGTGAAAACTCGATGACACAATTGCGAACAAACACCTTGTGGTATTTTGGAGACCCAATCACATTCACACTAGATGTGAGATTAACATAGAACTCAGAAACTAAATGAGGGCAAAACTTACCAACAGACACAACAGATTNTCTGTTTGCAGTGTATCTGTTCGCGGCTCCTCAACAACCTGCTGCCGGAGAAAAATCGAATGTGCTGATGGTGCAATCCGCGGCTTCGCCAAGTCTTCATCACCGGTGGCTTCTCGAGCAAGATGATGGTGGACAAGCGACGATTTCCGACGATGCGGTAGACTCCCGATGGTGGACACCATCTCCTTCGCCCGTCGCACAATTCTCGACCGACCGAGGCGACGCCACCGAGATACGCCCATCGCCGTCAAGGAGGGGAATAACCGATACCGTTGTGCGTCAGCCTCAGGCCGCCGTTCGGCCACGACCGTATATAGCCTGTATATCTTCCCGTATATAGTCTGTATATATCCCCGTATATAGTCTGTATTGCGAGATGGTACGAAGACTGGGATATATACACATATTATTTGTAGATGTTATAGAAATATATATGTTATGTACAAGTCATGTATATGTATATATCTTTAATTTTCTACCAGATATTCTCTCTCCAGACACACACCTTGTCAGTTACGGAAATTTATTATGGTAAGTCATTATGACTGATCCGTTGCTATTATATTGTACGCATATAAATAATTTGAGTAAGTTGGGTATAAGTACAATTAAATTTTATATTTGCTATATATGCAAATAAAAACAATGAATTACCGCGTAAATTCCCCAACATTCACGCCATAGAGGGGAGATTTAATTTGAGCCCAATATCAATTAAAAGATTTGGGCTGGACATTAGGAAAAATCCGTCAGTGAGGCAGAAATTTATTGGCTTGGACTTGTGTACTTGTTTGGGAGTCTTTGAGATTTATTTACCAAAAAGATAGAATATATAGGCATCAAGCTTGGGAGACGGGAGAGATGAATACGCAGAAAGAAGAAAAGGCGAACAGAAAAAGCACTTGCAGAAATACGCGCGGGATCCGACGAACGCATAGGGAGACCGTATCCGCACACGAGAAGGATAACTTTATTATTCTCTTTTATTTATTATTTGTTATGTTAGAGTAGTTTTATTTCTAGTCTGGAAATGTCGAACCCCACGACTTGACGATGTTTGATTGATTTTCATGGTTGATAATTTAATTATCTTTTTGAAATTGTTTGTGTTATTTTGATAGAGCCACCATGATGTGTTTGATTTTATTTAGATTGATCACTTAGATAGAATTTTTCATGTCTAGAATTGAGCTTGCAATTCGTAATTGTATGAACTTACAATCCGTAATTGTTGTTGGGTTTAATTCATAAGAGCAACCGGAAGATAGTAACTACCGGGGTATTTAAGTGAACCAGTGGTTGGATTCACTACTTAGTCTAGCCTATTTTTCTAGATCCTAAAGCGGCTAATTGTATTAAATCTAGAAAGCGTCTCCTTGACTGTACAAGAAGTCAGGTTTAATCGTAGAGTGTCCCGCGGTTAAATTAAAAGTAAGGAAAAATTTGAGTGGCAGAGCGTGGTGTTACCTAGGGCTAGTAATTTCATAAGATAACGAGATTTGATACCAGAATTGATAAAATTCGGTTGACAGAGCGTGTTGTTACCTAGGGCTAGTAATTCCATAAGATAACGAGATTTGATACCAGAATTGATTAGATGAGTCGGTCGAGGGTGTAGACAGAACCGTGAACTAGATTTTCTTTTATTTATAAAAAAAATTATTTTATTTTATTTTTTATTTTCATTGTTTAGATTTTTTTGCTTCATTAAAATTTTAGTTATTTTAGTTATTAATTCTTAAATCAAAATCTCTGCCCTCTTTTATTGCTTTCTTAAATTCAATTAATACAAGAAATATCACAATTTGATTCACACTACTCGTGGGATCGATCCTTACTCGCTACAACTACTAGTTAGTAGAGGTTGGTTAAGGAAAAATTTATATTATAATGCGCGGTCATCTCAATTCATATATACTCAAAATGGGGTAAAATATACAAGACCCCTTGTATTATACGAAATCTGCGTGTTTTCTCCCTGTATTTTAAAAATTGCGTCAGACCCCCTTCTATTAAGGTTTTGTATGCGCGAAACACCCAAAATTTAGACGATTTTGGGTGTTTCGTGCATACAAAACCTTAATAGAAGGGGGTCTGACGCAATTTTTAAAATACAGGGAGGAAACGCGCAGATTTCGTATAATACAGGGGAATTTGGTACATTAAACCCACTCAAAATGTAATTCAACTTTAACTCAATTTCACTACCCTCAATATTATCAATATAATTAAATAATATCAACCAATCATTATTATACATCACATCAATTTTAATTCAATATTTATTCACTCACATAATTTTAATTAATTACCATTTCATATTATCTCTCTTCTACTTTTACATCAAATCAACTTTAATTATTTTATTTTAAATATTATTTTAATATAAACTCAAAATACCATTAATAAATAATCATACCAAATTTTTCAAAAGTAATCATAGTTAATTAAAAAAATTCAGTTTTGAGTGGATCATTACCCTTTTGTTTTATATATATCTACCCCAAACCCGACCTAACTTTGACTGAATAAAAACGTCATGATTACATAATCAATGATGCAGATACTACAAATTATTCGCAGCATCCCAAAAATAGTGATCGTCTATCAATGGGATATGAAATTATCAAATAAGCTCGGTTTTAAGTTACTGGTCTTCTTCAGAAACATCTTCTAATTCTCGTGAGACCTGCAAAGCGTCGGGTGCTTTCTCAGCTTAAAGCCTTCCACGATCAAGTTAGTCCTCAATTTTTAGATGATTAAAATATTATAACGTGTAGAAAAATACTCTCTTTTATATTACTAGCTTGTAAAGTACTAGCTAGTAAAGTGCACGTCCAATGCATGTGATATATAATTTATATTTTAATGCGAGTTTAATTTATATTTTATCTTTTATATTTTTATGGTCTATTCAATTTTTTGCATTATTATTTTCCATTAATCAAACAAAAGAAGTACATATATTACATAATGAATTGTGTCAAATATATTAAAAGTTGAAACAATTTTCAAAATAATAATATTTAATAGTCATGATGAAAAAGATTGCATGAAAACTTTGGTGATAAACCTTTATTATCTATGTCAGTTTATTCGAAATCTTTTTGTTTTGGGGAAGATTGAGAAATATACACAGTAAAACTAAATAAAAATATTTTACAAGAATAATTGCATGTGATAGATTATAACTGTTTTTTTATCTTGTTGAAGAAAACAATTTTTTGTCATTATTTTCATTGAGTAAATATAAAAAAAGTTATAATTCAATTGATATATGTTAGCAACTTTTTTAAATATTATTCATATTATCTTCTATTTTCCAGTGACATAGTTTTCATATGCATTTTTTCACTTGATCTAATTAGGTATAGTTATTTTCATGAGTTTTAAAAATATATTGAAATTCAAGTTTTGATCGAATTTTGGTTTTTTTTTTTTCATTCAAATACTATTTTATTTTTCATGAACCATTACATACATATGCATGGTACACAATCTCATTTGGATTTCAATAATTTTAAAAAACAATTTATAAATATTAAAAATATTTTTTTCGTAAATTATATTGTATTTCTCATTTAAGACACAGATTGATTTAAATTAAAATTTTCATAATATATATAATGAGCGATAGTTTTGGTCTTTAGGTCACATTTAATGCTAAAAAAATTGCTACTGAATAACTTGTGTACAATATCAATCAATTAATGACCAATAAGATGTATAATTTAAGTTCATAACTACAAAACCTTAAAATTCCTTCCAATGTGTGATGTAGATGAACCATATTATTATAAACTTGATCAAACTAAGCATATATTCACACATATAACCTTGGTCAAGTTTGTGTTAGATAGGACTGTATTTGTTGAAATATCACTTGTGAGTCATCACATATTGATTTGATAGGATAAATGAGTCTAGTTTATAAGCGTAGTGAGCTACTCTTCCCATCACCAATTAGTTTTGGGATGGAGCCTCCCGTCACACATTGATCTCGCGGTAAGCTCTTCATATGGGTGGAGCATAAATTCTTAGATTCCAGGTTGAAAATATAGCAAAATACTATATATGTCGAGAGTAAATTTGGTAGTACACTTATTCAAAGAGTTAGCACCCCTTTTTTTTTTTTTTTTGATCATATTCCTTTTACCTGAATATATTAGAGAGATGCAAACACATATATTTTCCAGAAAATCCAGTTACAAACAATAATATAATTCAATTCAATCAAAATTCCAAATTAACTTCCATTATCCTCAGTTAATTCCTCAGTCAGTCACTCGTCTGCAATGTCCTGGCGTATGTGGCGGACGAGCGCCGGGATGGTGATCTCCGGCGCGCTGAGGTGCGGCAGGTGTCCTTCGGTGGGCAGCACCTCCACGACGGACTTCCCACCCAGGCTCCGGCGGAGGTATTCCCCCACCACCACAGGCACCAGCATGTCCTTGGAGCTCTGGATAATGTGGCACGGGACGCTGACTTGGCTGAGGTAAGGCCTTAGGTCGAAACTGTTCAACATACGGCACACGCTGAGCCCTATGTCTGGCCGAATGTTGAACAGTGTCCGGCTGAACTCCTGCATTGCACTCGATTCCAGGTCCCCACCCACCATCAGCGGCGCAAATCCAGTCAACATCGACCTGTGGTTCTCCTCCATGGCGGCATACAGCTGGTCCAGCTGATGCTGATCAAACCCACCATAGTAGTCTTCCGTGTTCGACAACCTAATCAACAATTAAAAATTAAATAAATAGAAAAAAAACGAAAAGAAAAAAAGGATATATATATATATATTGACGAGTAGAAAGAGTACGTACGTACCTTGGAGTTGACGAAATCATTACAATCTTACGAAACAAGTCCGGTCGGAAAATGGATGCCACAACGGCAGACATGGCAGACATTGAGTGGCCCACGTAAATGCAGCTGCTGACGTGGAACTCCTCTAAGATGGCGAGGAGGTCGTAAGAATAGCCTTCCAAGGTGGAGTAGCGTTCGAAATCGAAGTAGTCGGGGTTTGTTGTCCCCGCGCCCATGTTGTCGTAAAGTAGGACCTTGTACTCGTCCACCAGGTGCGGGACTAAGTGCCTCCAAACCGACTGGTCCGTGCCGAACCCGTGCCCGAGGACTACTGTAGTCTCACCCGACCCTAAAACCGTCACGTTGTGGGCTGCTCCAACTGTGCTCATCTTTTTCTTCTTCTTATGCTTGTTTATCAGATTCTTGTTAAGACTCTGCTTAGCAGGTGTACTGTTAGCATATATTTATTAGTATGTGGGATTCTAGATTTATTGAATATTATTCAATTTAATAGAATTTTTTATTCATTGGTTCATATTGGCTCGTGGTGGCATTGGAATTCACCTGCTGACCCTCTCGCCGAGTTTTGCGCTGTCAAAGCTTTAGAAAAGTTGAAATGTGAGTTTCTGTTTGAT